AACTCTATTGGTGTAGGAGATTATAGACATATTGCTTGTTGTAATATATTCTAAAAAGTTATCACAAAGATCCTTGCTTCTAGATTGAGGCCAATTCTTGGACATATTATTGATCAATCACAAGCTGCATTTGTGGAAGGTAGAAGTATGACGGAAAACATTCATCTTGCTCAAGAGTTTACAAGGCAATATAACCGTAAAAGAGTTGCATCTAGATGCCTTCCTAAAGTTGATTTAAGGAAGGCATATGATTTCGTAAATTAGGACTTCCTTAAAAGCGTGTTGGAAGGTCTTGAATTTTCAACAAAATTCATTGGATGTGTGATGGAATGTATCTTGACACCTTCATACTCCGTTGCATTAAATGGTTGTTTCCATGGATTCATAAAAGGAAAGAAGGGGCTTCGTCAAGGTGATCTACTATCTCTTTTCTTGTTTGTTATTTGCTTTGAATATTTTTCAAAAATTTTGAAGGGGGCTACTGAAAATAGTGAATTCAATTTTCATCCTAAATGTGGCCCATTGAAGATTACCCACTTAGCATTTGCAGATGATTTGATGTTATTTGCTAGAAGGTATGCTATCTTGGTTGGTATTCTAATGGAGTGTTTATCCAACTTTGGAGAAATGTCGGGACTAAAGATGAGTGTAAACAAGTGGAATTTGCACAAAGTGGGTGTTCATGGACAAGAGTTGGAGGATATTCTTCAACTAGCAAATTTAGCCAAAGGATCTATGCCCTTCCGTTACTTGGGTATCCCACTTGCGATGGGAAAACTTAAAAGCAACTGCTATGATGCACTTATCAACAAAATTAAGGACTACATTGGAGCATGGTGGAGGGCTAAATTATCTTATGCAGGGAGAGTAGAGCTAGTGAGAGCCGTCATACAAGGTGTTGTATGTTTATGGCTTTCCATTCTACCTATCCCATCCACGGTTGCATCTAAGATTACTAGCCTACGTCGGAACTTTCTTTGGGATTCAAAAAAACTGCTGGTTGCTTGGACTAGTATTTGCTTACCGAAACATAAAGGTGGGCTTGGATTCATAGAAATTAAATGTTGAATACGACGATCCTTGCAAAAACTCTTTCAAATGTTCATAATAAAAAAGATACTCTTCGGGTGAAGTGGGTAAATCTGATTTTCCTTGGTGGAAAGGACATTTGGGACTACACGGCAAGGAAAGATAACCCTCCACCACTTAAAAGACTGCTGGAAATTCGGGACATGTTTTTGCAGCCTCAACAACCAGTTCAGGCCATAGTTAGCACTGTACAGCCTGATCTAGCAACCCAGGATGCAATGGACAGATTTTCAGCATGCACAGCAGCAAGCAAGTTCAATGTAACAGCAACTTATGATTTTCTCAAGCCAAAGGGGATGAAGACTGCCTGGACAGCTACTATTTGGAATGCCTATGTCATCCCGAAACATGCTTTTATCCTTTCGTTAGGAGCTAAATCGAAGTCACTAACAAAGGACAAATTGAAGCATTTGGAAACTGACCGAAGGTACATTTTCTGTGGGATTGCCGATGAGACTGAGTATCATCTTTTCTTCTCCTATCCAATTAGTTTTGTTTTATGGGGAAAAATTTGTGATTGGTTGGGCATTAGGCACTCCATGTCTACCCTACCTAGTGTGTTGAAGTGGATTAAAAAAGAGGCTTGGAGAAGGACTTGGCAAAGCAAAGCTAGGTGGATAGCTTTTGCAAGCACCATTTACCACTTATGGATGGCACGTAACAGGAGGATTTTTGAGGATTTAAGACCACGAGTAGAAGGTATTGTTCAAAGCATCAAAACACACGTATATAAAGTTATGTTATATTTGTATCCATACGTTCTAATTCATTTTGAGTCTTCTGCTTTGGATATTTAGATCTTGTCTTTGTTCATTTTTTCATGTTGTTCACCCTAGTATGCCCGGTGTCCTTGTACTTGGAATTAATCTTTATTAGCCCGGTATGCCCACTGTACTTGTACTCGTCTCAACCTTGATTATCCAGGTATGTCCGGTATACTTGTACATAATTTTTTATTTATAGTAATTCACATTTACCGATGAAAAAAACCACTTTTCATGATAGACATTGTTTGAATTTCAAGAACGATGAAAGAAACAATGCTTTGCACTTAAGGTTGGGATGAGATGTGCAAAAATCTATAAAATCATTATTAAAAGAATAAGCTATTTGTACATATGAAAATTATGACACAATACTATACTAACTGGTTTAAATTTGTTTTGTGTCCAGCGTCCAACGAATACTAGCGCAATTTATCAAAAATTCCTATACATATAGCACTTCTCTTATTGAAATAGTGCATGACTTTTAACTTTTTGACATGTCTGGAAGGTATGTCCCAAATGAATTGGACAGTTTTTAAAAATAAAGAAATAAAAAATATTGGTAAATTTTAAAATATAAAATATGGTAAATTACATAAACTTCTCTTTGAGGTTTATTACAATTTTAGGAACACCTCTTTATTTAAAAAAGTAAATATATGCACATTTGCCTTCAAATTTTGAATAACGCAAACTTTCATAGAAATCCTTACATTTCAAAAATTACAAAAACTTTTCTTATTTCAAGTTTTGAATAATGCATATTCTCCCGAAGTCCTCTATTTATTAAAATTACAAAAAGTCGCAAATATCTCATATTTCAATTTTTGAATAACGCATACCCCCATTGACCCCATGTTAGCATAAAAAATAGTAATAATGTTTAAAATACTCTTGCAAACTTTATACCTAAAATAAACCTTTAATACTTCTAACTAAATCAACACAAAGTATTATTTAGACTATTAATTCACAAGAAATATATAGAGAGAGATCATACTCAAAATAGAATCTAAAAAACAAAATACTAGATATTTCATTTTGACAATAAAACAACCACTCTATACATAATATAACTAATACTAAGAGTAGTCATCCGCATTGTTCATTTGAACTCTACATGATTAATCATTCAACAACTTCATTTTCTTGCGAACTCTCAATTAAAGCAAAAAGGATAAAAACTAATTATAAATTTGCAAAGTTATGAATAATGAAATATATGTGTTATCTATCACATTCAAAGAAGAAAGCATTTTCCTCACAATTGTCAATCTTTTTAGACACATTGTCGACAAAGTCACAAACAGAAATCTGCCATCTTCTGTTCCCCCAATGTAATTGTTCAAATCAATCAAATTTGGAAGTATTTTTAAGAATTAATGGTCTAAACAATACTTTATTGTTGATTTAGTTAGAAGTATTAAAATAATATTTTAGGTATTTCTTTGTAAATAAGTAGTCATTAGATGGAAGAAAGTTTCTAAGAGTATTTTAAGCATTAATACTATTACCTTGGGAAGAAAAGAAGCAAATTGGAATAGGTATGCATTATTTAAAACTTAAAATAAGTGAGATTTGTGTAATTTATGAAAATGGAGGGGTGTCTCAGAAATTGTAATAAGGATGGTTAAATTAGCGAAAATGATTTTCTGATCACCGGTGCTTAGTTTATATTAAACACCGTGTGTTGGTAGCACACTATAATGGATGGTGTAATTAGTTTTAAAATTAACCATTATCTTTTGCCACCTATTGTAGTGTGCCACGTCACTCGGTGCTTAATATAAACTAAGTATCGATACTTAGGAGATCATGACTGGTTAACTTAGTACCCTTTTTATTTGTTGCATCATATTTTACTTTCACTTACGATCCTCAGTATTTACTTGTTATAACACTTATGTCTCTAACTTTTATTTCTGCAATTTTTTATTTAAACCTTTCATTAATTAGCACATTTATCCTTGTCTTTGAGATGAGGAAAAATAATTTTGTTGAAATGTTATATTTATTGTTTGTTTTAAAAATGTGATAAGCAAACTAATATGTTGCACGTATATGGTAATTATTGAAGATTTGAGGATAAAAATGCGAAGAAAAATGTTAGGAATATAAGTATTAAAAAAAGAAAAGATTTGGACTTTAAATACAATTAAATCGTGGGTCAACAAATAAAAATGTTATGAGAATATAAATGCCCTCCTCATAAACTTAGGGAAGCTATGTGTTATTCAAAATTTGAAATAGAGGTTTTTGTAATTTTTTTTTTTAAATGAATGGAATATTTCTCAAATTATCAGAAATTTTAGGGAATGTATCTTTAATTTGTCTGCAAAATATTTATAGATGTATTTTCTGAAAAATATATAACCTGTCTATATTTAATTTAATTTTAACTGAAATTGAACAATTGCCATGTTTATTCTTGGCAGTAGGCCTTATAGACCGCCATTGAACGATTCCAAATGAATGCAACATTGAAAGCAGCCAAAATTGAATGGAGCCACTGAAGTATGAACAATTCCCATTAAAGGGTTTTCATACCGTAGGAAGCAAAGTTGCTCGATGGGTCGATCGATTTTACTTTCTTTGACGGGTTAGATGGTCCTGTCAATCATAGTTTGAATGGGACGATCAATCAGGTTGGCTCACAACATTCGTCTATTTTGTCGTGGAAAGACAAGTGGAGAAATAATGGGCAGAATAAGCCTATGTCTGGCTCATTTTTATAAATATATAGCGGGTGTTGTAACGAAATTGATTGCAAAAGAGGGAAAATCTGCCACAACAAAATTACCTTTTGAGAAGGTCCGTTTGCTATTTGAAAATTGCTCAATTGAAAGAAATGAGATTATTGGGGATATAACACATTAAAAAATTAGAAAAATTTGTCCGGTACTAATCCATAACAATCAAAGTTGAATCACTATCCTATTAGTGAAGCAAATTTATTTATAAATATTCAAATTACTTTCTATCCACATTATTTATGAACTATTTCGCCATTTCGTCTCCTTTATATTTGGAAAAATTGCATACTAGTATTCAATTTATTTTTTTGTCTATTTCAATTCGGCAACGCTGTCTCCAGCATTTTGAATTTGTAGAAAGTTAATCCCGAATAAGACAAATCTCATTAAGTAATTAAACGTATTGGGAGCAAGTAGGAGCAAAATAAACTGTAAATTAAAGTACCACACTACAATAATAACAAAATCAAGCAAGTTAGATTGTATACAAACACCACATACATTATTAAATAATTAAGATTTTAAACGAAGTGATTCAGATATTCATCCATGGTTGTGTATTTCACCTCTGGATAGATCTCAGAAGCCTCAACCCCAGAAGAAGGGTCAATTTTCAAGGTCAATCCATTCACAAAGACAGCATGGCAAATGGCGAGGAGTAATTTTTGTTGCAATGGAGAATCTGCAAGACAAAATAAGTTCACAAATAAAATATTAAGAGAGGTGCGAAATGCCATTTTTTTTAATTTAGATGACCAAAATATTTATTTTACAATAATGCCACTTGTATATCATGTTTGACATCATCCTTGGTGTGAAACTTTGATTGGTGTTAAAAAAAAATAAAAATAATAAAAAATTTAAACCGTCCAATTGTGTGTTGACTCATGAAAGAGTGTAAAACTTGATGTATACTGTGATCTGCACCAAGCAAGATTGTTTATTTTTGTTAGTTTTTGATATTCAATAAATCTCGGGCAATGATGTTAAACATCGGACTTTAATTTCACGAGCCTCGATCAATGGTAAATTAATTACCAACAACTGAGTCCAAAAGCTCTACCCGGCCCATACATATTACATCTTGAATGTCTTTGTATATTGTCCCATCTAACGTTATTATTGGTCCATTTAAAGCCTAATCTAACCCTATATGTGTGTGTGTGTCTACCCGTGCCATTTTAGGGTGTAATTTGTGTATGAACATAGAAGAAAACATGTCTACCATATTGTGGAAAAAAATCGATTGCTCTGTGCTTCCAAAATTAGTGACTTCTTTGTGTCCTTGGTCTCTCTTGTGCCTCTTCATTGGTTTTTCTTCTTCTTTGTGGCTACAAATCAGCACCATTATCTTGTCCTTTGTGGGTAAGATTGAGAAGCAATCGAGGTAAATATATTGGTGTGGGTTGAAACCTTGGATTGGCTGTTTGGTAGAGAAAGAAAATGTAAAATCGAGCCCAAAAATCATCAATTTGACGATCCTTGGAGCGAGCTTTCATGACAATTAGTATAAGAGCTTCAATGTGGTGGATTTAGCACAAAAATTTGATCAAAAACCATCTAAAAAAAATGGGCTAAAAGGAAGTAGAAATCAGATTGCAAAACTGTCTAGAAAATTTCCTAAAAATTGAGGCTATTTTTGTGATTTTCGATCAATCTTGAAGGAGTTTGGTAAAACGGAGACCACCAGCGTGATGTGCAAGTGGAGGTGATCCCGGAGGTGAGGTGTATGATCGACAACGGCAGCGCATGAAGCCCACGCATAGAGACTGTTGGTGGCAAGTGAAGGCATGTGTGGAGTCTTCCGGTGGAGGTCTTTTTAGGCAATTTGTTGTTGACAGTTTTTCTGACATTTTGGTATTGTTAATTTTCTATTTCAAGTTATACAGTGGAATCTAGACATATTTTTCCATCATGCATTCGAGATTCGATCGTGGTCGATTGGTTGCTGGAGACTTTAGGACAAATAGTGGTAGTCCCAAAGTGATAAATCGCAAATCTTGTAATTTACAAAATTAGATTGGTACGCTCTGATACATTTGCTTATCCCAATTTAAAGTTCAACATTAGTGCATCATCATGTGAAGTGACGTTAGGATTTGGGTTGTCGTAAAGAGGTAACATTACTTTTGCTAGAAATTTAGAATTATTTGCCTTATTTGAAGTGATGAATTTGATCGTAAGTTAATAATTGGTCTGTGTTTAATTGTCTACATTGCATGAGAACTTGATTTTTGTTAACATATCTTCGAATTGCATGGATTATTCTATTAAAACACATAGACTTGACCCGTTTGAACATCCCCTAATCTAAGATCGTGAATCTTACAAAATCCTGAAAATCTAGAATTGTGTATATTACGGTCTTAGGATTACTTTTTGTGACTTATTTGTGCACTTTAGTTGTTATGTCTTTCAAAAATATCATCACATTTCGAAATTGAAATTTTCGATAGAAAATGTAATTTTTCAATTTGACAACAAAAGTCGAAAGAGATTTTAGTTTAACAATAAGTTTCAAAAGACATAGATGGTAAATTTCTTGCAAATTCGACATAAGCACAAAAACAAGAATATAATGAACTTGCTTACACTTCAATTATTTTACATCTATTTGACACTGTTTTGAGAAAAGTTGGAAAACTTGATTCAACAATGATGGCAAAAGTTTGAGGACTTATATTTGTTTAAGTCCACTTCTAATAAGTTGTACTTACTTGAAAGATATTTCAATTTTAAAATATATAGTTCAAAGAATCTTGATGACAATTTGGATATTTTCAACAAACCTGTTCAAAATATTTTTAACTATGATGAAAAGGTATCTAAATCTTATAAGGCCATTATTTCGCTTAATTCAATGCCTAATTCATATAAAAATGTTAAGAATGCAATTAACTATGTTAGGGACACCTTAACACCTAATATTTTCATAGATTCCCTTAAGAGTAAGGAGATGGGGATTAAGGCTAAAAAAAAAAATAATAAGAAGAGTGGGGAGTTACATATGATGAAGAGTAGAATGAAGTTTAAGCAAATGAATTTAGGTAGAGCTCAATACAATCGTGATTCGAGTAGCAACTCGAGTAATGAGGGTGGTAAAAAGCAAGACAAGGGATGGGTCAAGTCTAGCGTTAGACGATGTTACACCTGTAGTAAGTCTAGACATTTAATTAGGGAATGGCCTAAGAAAAAGGATAAGTAGAAGAGTAAGAAGATAGGTGAGGAAGGGTCGAATGATGATTATAGTGAGATTTATTGAGTAAACATAATTATAGCATGTACATTTGCATATAATCATTTCTGCATTTATGTGATTGCTTAATTCTATTGCGTTAATATGTTATACTTTTAATTTGTTTGTGTGTGTACGCAACTACATGAATTGAAGTGATTTTACTACTTAGTGTAATTGTTTTCATGCATAGTGGGTTAGGATGTATTAACAGCAAATGTGAGATGTCTATTTGGTAATGTGGAGTATAGATGCTTAGTATGCATTGGTGGTTTTTACCAAGGATGTGGAGTGTGTCATTTGTATCACAAGTGGAGGGGTGATTCAATGTTAGAATCTTTTGTCTACAAATACCCTGATAAGGTGGAGTGTGAGAAAGGCACTTCTATTACTTTGGTTAGGTGGAGACTCATTATGCATTTAGGTTGGGAAAAGTAATGTGGTAATAAAGGATTATCCCAAAAACTTAGGATCTATTGTGATTTACTTGTTAAACATGAGTTTAGTGATCAGTCTAGTGAGCATGGTAGGAGATTAAAGAGGAAATATGTATTCTCGAGGTATAAACATGAAATGGGATAGGATAAGTGTAGCGAGATCTTTTCATGGGGTCATTTATGCATTTGTTGCATGTGTGTTGGCAATTTATTGATTAATTTGGTGTTAACCTTTGTTCTATGTGAACATGATTTTTTAAAAGATTTGTGTGTTATCCTATATAATATCTTCATCGTATGATTATTTGCTCTTAAATGGTCGCTGTAATTATCTGCTTCTACTTGGATATTTGTTTGTGGCCTTAACCCTAGTGAGCACGTGGAGCAAGTATGGTATGTATTTAAAGTCCAAAACACGAGGTAAGTTTTGTGATTCCGATTTTATTGATTACCTTGATTATGCAAGTACTAACTGTGTGTTCTGATTCTTGCAGGTTTATTGGGCATCAAAGTTACACAATAAATTTCGAGCAATGATATTAGATGTTAGAATTTAACTTTACAGACCTCGACCAATCGTGAATTAATTACCAACAACCAAGTCCAAAAACTCCACCCAACCCATACATATTACATTTTGGATGGCTTTGAATCTCGATATGGACATAGAAGAAAACATGACTGCCATATTGTAGAGAAAAATCAACTACTTTGTGCTTCCAAAACTAATGGCTTTTTATGTCTTTGGTCTCCTCTTATGCCTCTTTTCATTGATTTTCTTCTTGCCTTTGTGACTACAAATTTATACCATTATCTTGTTGTTTGTGGGTAAGATTTAGAAGCAACCGAGGTAAATATATTGGTTGTGGGTTGGACCCTTAGATTGATTGTTTGGTAGAGAAAGGTAATGTGAAACTAAGTCTGAAAATAAGCTGAAGGTACTGATGTTAATTGAGTTGGACTTTGGGTGTCAGCGAGCTGAGCCGAAAATTTCAGCTTAAGCTTGGCTTGAGCTTTTTTACCTCGAGCCTTTTTTTGGCCTGAGCCAAGTCAAGCAAAAGCTTGACTTGAGCTTTCAGCTCAAGCCTTGCCGAGAAGGGTCGACTCAAACCTGCTCGAAATTTTTTTCCTTTCCTTTGTTGCCTGTTTGCCTACTTAGCTGTCAAACCGACAGCTTTATAACAACCTCGATGGGAGGCAGCCATCTTTATACTGCCTATTTAGCAACTGTTTAGATGCAAAAACAGGCATTAAATAAAGCTGCCGGTTGAGGCAGCCATAAAGCTACCAGTTAAGGCAGCAAGCCTTACCCGACAGCATCTTTATGCTGCTGTTTTCGACTATTCAAATAATAGCTTCCAAATAGGCAACAGACGACAGTTTGGAGATTATATA